AATGTGCAGCTTGGTTGTGGAGCAGGACAATTTATTATCGTTTTGTTTATTTGTATTGTTGCCCTTGCTGCTTAACTAATTTCTCCTTGCGGGACCATAAAGTATTGCATTGAATTGAACTGATCTGAAACACACCAGCAAGTCCACCTCTCAAAGGCTCAAAAACCAACTTTGGCCTAGTCAAAATCTGGATTTAAATCTAACTGATATGTTTGGCATGACCCTGGTTTCATGTTCAGAAACCAACCATACAGCCATGTGAAAGAGTCATTGTCTATTATCACAAGTGGCTGATCAAATTTCTTGCTACCAAGGGTGGCATCGCCAGTTATTACGTTTAGGGAGCAATTACTTTTTTCACATGGGGCCATGTAGGTAGGGGTTGCTTCTACCCCGTGATAGATGAAATCATTATTTAAAGACAGCTTATTGTATTAACTCAGGTTATTGTTGTGTAATATTACAATTATTTAATGATCTGAAACATGTAAGCATGACAAATATGCCAAAAAAAGATGTCAAGATGGGGGCTTAAATAAATTACTTAAATTGTTTGACTTTTTCACCACACTGCAAGGGTCATTTCAGTAACAAGCGCTCTAAAGGCATCAGCAGTAGCGTAGTTTTCAACATTGACTGGATGACTGGATAATGAAAATAATTTTGCGATGATTATGATTTGTTGTTGCGCAACTTTGAGCCCTAAAAAGCAAAGATTTTCTGCAGAGGCAGCTGTTGGAGTCGGTTAAGGTCATGCTCTGCTACGCTGTGACCCTGGTGGTGCGGCTTAGCCAGTAGTGATGCGACTGCTGCCCTGCCCCAGGATTCAGCTGTCTACTCAGCTTATGGTCATTCGCTGTGCTGACTGTGAAGACCTAGCACCGCTATATAGATAGCTGAAGGTCAGTTCAGGCTCTGTGTCAGAGGGGTGGTGGTGGTAGAAGGTGAGGATGTGAAATGTAAAGGGGATAATGAAGAAGTCTCAGTGATTATGAGAGGAGCAGGAGATGTTACCTGCTCAAGCAGAACACACAACCTTCAGGTCTATTTTTACAGCTGATCCTGAGTTTGTCTCAAGGAAATAGTTAAATGTCACAAAGGAATCACCATTCAGTGTACAGACTGGCTTACACAAATGTATTTTTTTCACCATTTCAATTTTAATACAACTAAGAAAACATCAACTGTATCACTGTTAATAACAAAATAAATATGCTTTTAGAGGTTTTTCACAGATTCCACTGCCTGTATTCATGTGACTTGTTTTATTTCCTGAGGCTTGTAGATGTCTGTATCTAAGATTTTTGCTGCCACTCCAAAATGATTGTGATGCCCAAGGCTCCAAAGATGACATTTGGAAAATTTCACAGCATGTATCTTTTCAGATACGGTTCCAGAGCTTGACGAGAAAACTCTGACAGAAGACATAGACCTTTAAATTTTGATCATTCAGAGATATTGGTGAGAAGCGTAGTTGTGTGGAAGCAATTTAATGGCAGGTCCACTTGTTAAGCAAGTGTGTCTGAATTTAAGCAGGAATCCAAAACCAGGCATTTCACAGTTAGAGGTCTATCCTAGTTTAAAGCTTAGTTTAAAGTCTTCATATTCAGAGTGGATAAAATAGTTGTCATCCAGGTTGTAAATTTGTTAAGTCAAAGGCTGTAATTTTTCTTGATTCTTTATTTTGCCTTTAATTTACACCAAAACTCAGTTT